ATAAAAGCTTAAAAACTAATCAGCTCATGCTGGCATATAGGAAAGCCTTTTTATCATTCTCATTACTCACACGCTGCGTGTAATGAATGCACGTTGTGGTAAGACATCGGATTGACTCTGGTATAATCTTTCAGGTGTATCACTCGGTGCAACACCAGCCTAATAAAGGTTAGTGTGGTTACTATAAAAAGAAGTTAGACATCACAGTCAAACTAGACAAGAGGGCTAGGAGAGCTGGGAAAACTGCTAGCAGTCTAACATTTTTGGTGTTTGTTTTGTTGTGCACTTACATGATCAAACTAGTGGTTACCAAAAAGTCTGTCAGTATCGGTTGGCTCAATGTCTGTGATGGTAGGCACCCAAAAATGGTTCATAATATCACTTCAGGTCCAATGAAAATACAGGCAGTTACCAACTTGGGGCAGACATTGTTTGGCAATTTTACCACCACATTTTTCCCTGCTTTGAATCATCATTTGAATCACACCCCCATCGTTTACTTGGGGGGGTATAAAACCCAATGCGGCCCAATAGATGGTGCCAGTGTTATTACCTCTTACTGTAGGTGTTTTGGCAGCACAACTGAACCCATCAAAGAAAGACAGCTAATGCTAGCTAAACACCTTTTTATGGGTAAAACACTGTGTGGGTGCTGCCAGTGACTCAGCAGGGGTTTAAATAACATGAATGAAATCTGCTGGAATCAGTGCTAATCTTCAGAGGCTAGGCCATCTAGCTTCCACTCTCATGAATGACTGAATGAAAGACTGCACAGTCTGTATAATATCTAATACTGAATGCTGTAAAAAGACAGATGTCTTAAATTTCTGACAGTACATGCTGTAACGGGAAAAAAAAAACGGTCAATGTTCGTAGGCAACACAGAGTTATGACATGCCCCAGACAGTCAGTGGGGCACCACAGAAGTTGGCATGCCGGCTCTCAATGCCCATCCAGACGCCTGAAGCGTAGATCTTGTTCCTATTATACTATATTTTTTCCTTTTGAGAAATGGAAGAAAATATGCACAGTAGCTGCACCATCATTATAGTTTCACAAAAAGTGAAGAGAATTTAAATTTCAGTTTGACTTTAAACCTCATCCATTTACAAGACTCTCCGTTATGGCTCCTACACAGATGAGCGCTCCCATTCTGAAACCGAACATCAAACACCAGTCAGCCGAAGGAGGCAGAAGAGGAGGAGGAGGATGACTATAATTGTTGGAGCCCATAATAGGCTGGGCCTGCAGGAGCAGTTTCAGACAATCATGGTCTTTTCAATCGGTCTCAGATGGTATGATTAGAGAGCGATCTACTGCAGGCAGCATCATCCAAAAATCTAATTTTGAGAGCCGTCACAGTGATTTCTCCGTCTGTTTGCTGGAGACACAACGTCCCTCCTTAACGCAGGTAGACAGGCGTCAGATTGGCCTCCTGCCTGATCCTTGGTAGGCCTGCTTGTAGGGAGGGCATGTGTGTTTATAGCATATATATATATATATAGGAGACACAGAGAGAAAGGGAAAGTATGCCAGCTTGCCAGCTTTTGGTAATACTAGAAACCCTCCATACACCACCAACGTTTCGCCTCGATTGGAGTCACTCACATTAGAAAATGCCATATGACACAAACACAATGCCCGCATACGCGCAACTAATCACTTTAAGATATCACAAGATCCTTGGAGGGAGCGCTGAGGCAGACACGTGGAGATGTTTTTGTTGAATGACACCCTTCAGCATTCGTCTCAGTATCAGAATCCAAGTTCAGCAAATAGACAGGAGCCACATGGTGGGTCTGAAGCAGGCATTTTTTGGTATTTATATATTTAAAAAAATCTTCTTCACTCATGTTCTATTATGCTTAAATGAGATTAAAAGGAAAGAGTGAAAAGGGGAAGAGAGGAGGCGAACTCAATACAGATTATCAACTTAAAAAGAATTCAGAGCTACTTGGGGTTAGTAAGACTCAGAAGATATGCAGATTAAGTCAATAATCAAATGATTTTAACTGGGATTTAACGAAAAAAAAACAGATTAAGTTCTTTGAATTATATTTTGTTTAATAATTTAGCAGCACAAGGCAACAACAAACCTTTAAAATTAAGCAGTACTTGCGACCCTTTGCAATAGGTTGCACAATAGAGTTTCCTCTCTAAACTTCTCAAATTGTTTAATTTGAATAATTGTTAGAGATCAGAATTTCATGATAACATGCTCTCAATGACAAGGCTGAAATGCTGATGTTTAGAAACATATCATGTCCACCCTGTTCACCATCTTAGTTTAATGAGTTACCAGGCCAACATCTGCTAATTAGCAATAAAAAAAGCAGCTAAGGCTGATGGGAATGGCATTAACAGGTATCAAACACATTTGGCCTGATGATGGTAAAATAATTGGCAACCAAAGTTGTGGACTGTCCGACAGACCAAAGTCACCGCTTTTTACCAGCTTTATCACTTATTTTCTGGTGTAACACTGAATTATTTGAGATCCAGGTGAGAAAGAAGAATCTCTTCATATACTGACCGGTGTACTTAAATGATTTAAACATCTTTTTAGTGAATGGTGTCATGTAAAAGCACATGGGACATTGCAGATGTTCTTTAAGTGGATCCATACAGAACAACCGATGCTCAGTGTCGATCCTCAGAGGCTTTGACAAGAGCAGTTTATTTTGTCTCACCAGCTTCTGACCCACCAAATGGCAAAAGTGAGACTCCTTTTCTAGGCTGAGTTTAAAAAGAGGGAATGACTTGGTCTGCAATAGCCTCAGTCTGTCCTATTTTAAGCAGAGGAGGTACAGAAAACTGGACAAAAGGGCACTGAGGGGCCATCCATTCCTTCCCAGGAGAGACTCAACTGTCTCACTACTTAAGTGCAGGTAAATTGCTTTGATTATTTTGAGCTGTGAGTAATTTGCTCTTCGAAATAACGTGTGCAGAGATTACTTACTAATTAGAATTAGCTGGAATCAACTGTATTTTCTGGAGGGTAATCTTTTAAACTGTATTATTGTACATGTAATTAAACACTTGAGAAACTTATACAGTTTACTTCAACAGGATTGTTTTGTATTATTTTACTCATACTCATTAACTTCAACTTGAATCTTTGAACACACATTGACATTAATTTTGTGGGACTGTCCAGAACAATTCTCAGGACTTTTTCTTGTAAGTACACACTTTTTGATAAGGATACATCAGCAGAAAGGAACTACTCCTCAGTGCTTCTTGTATTATTATTATTATATTTTCTTGTTTTCTTTAGTTAGTCAATACATTTTTTTTTTACTACAATACTGAGGTATAACACTGCTCTCTGCTGGTAGAAAGGGTTAACTGCAGTAGGAACTATCATTTCAGGTCACAGTACACCTGATTTTTACTAAAACTCTACAGTTACCCAGCAAATTATTAGATTAATGAATACCACAATGGTGTCATTATAATCTTATAACATGTCTCGTCATCTGTGATCAGTCAAATAAAACAACTGCAGCAGCTGTAAAATTACTACAGTAGGAGACAAAGTTACAAACATCTCCCGTAATGCTTTTCTCATTTCTGTACAGCTGCCAGCAGCAGATGGTCAAACAGATGGGAAATATTAAGAGAAAAGGATGAAAAGAGCTTGTAGCCTTTAGAGCTCAACATAATATGTATAAGTTTCATTTCTTATGAACATGTATTACATTCATTTGTCAGAAACAATTATGCGCTTCATATTTCATTTTCTCTCTCCACACCTTACATGATGTAATATTTCAGTAATCCTTCAGAGGGAGAACTGCCTCTGGCTCATACAATATGAACCATTTTTAGTTTGCCAGGAGAGCAGAAATAAGATTCTACTCAGCAGTTTCACATTTGTACTATACTTGTTTGCAGTTTTTCCCCCCCAATTACATGCAAGACAAGATACAGAAGTAGTGACCAAAATGCTGTAGGGTTTTAAGAGTAGCACATTAGTGAGCAAAGCCATGTCTGTAAAAAAAAAAAACTCCCTCAGGAAAATGTGTTTTGTTTCTTAAACTTAACTTCAGTCTGCAACCATGTCCTCAAAACCAGGCCAAGGTCGTGTATGAATTTCAGCTGCTTATAATGAAGTGTCTACTCTTTATATCAAGATCTGATTCATAGATTCAACATAACTACCAGCATTACATACCAACGCAAATAATTCACTTTATTTAAAACATAAGTGCTGTTTTCAGTCATGAGGAATGAAAAAGTCGATACACTTTCTATAAACATTTATTTATCTTTATTAGCCAGAGGTAACCAGCTTAGACAAGGACTCCATATTGTTTCAGAACGTCTGTGTATTTTGCAATCTTGGCCTCAACGTTCTTTTCTGCCAGCTTGGTCAGCTTGTTCACTGTCTTTTTCTTGGAGTAGCGGAGCTTGGCCTTCTCTTTTCTCTTCTCCTCCAGGGTGGCTGTGATAGCCTGGTACTTCCAGCCTACCTCATGTGCCAGACGCCCGAGGAGGGCGAACTGAGAGGGAAAGAAAAATCAAAGTCAGCATGTGTATCACCGCCAGCTAAAAATTAAGTCTAAAATGTAGTCGTTTTCACACTAAAGACCTTATTTTTAATGTCTAATATTGCCTTTAAAAAAAACAAAAAAAAACTTAAGTTTAAAGCTTCAACTTGAGGCACAACTTGTCCCCGACTCAACTCAGCAATCAGATCCGAAAAGTTTGTCTCATCAATAAATGATCAGTTTCGGGATAAAGAGATCATCACTGTCAAGTAAGAACGGTTGTGGCAGGTAAATTGAAGCATTTCTATTTGATGTTTGTACATTTTACAGCCAAGAAAGTTCTGCAATCAAGATCACAGTGACCCTCTAATATTTAAGTCTCACCTTGCGAGTGGGCTTCAGACGCACAATCTTGAGAGCAGCTGGAACAACCATGCGCTTCCTCTGTGGAACAAAAGCCAAAGTCAGAAAAAGAAGAAAACGGCAAATCTAAACATTCATAGGATAGCATGTCTCAGATATTTTTTGTTTTCAAAGTTATTCAAACAAGGTAGGTACGATAATAAGTGACATCACAGACAGCAGAGTTAAGCCAAACAGAATATTGATGTTAGTTGAGATTCATCACCTTGTCATAAGGTGGGGGGATACCGTCGAACACCTTCAGCCTCTCCAGAGCAGCCTGGCCTCTCTTGGTTTTGTGGGGAAGCATGCCTGGTTAGCAGAGAGAATACATGCAAGTTCAATACATTTTTAAATAACTATCATTGCAGCTGTTTCAAATGGGTTTTTTGTCCAAGCACAAGTCGTACTCTTTACTCAACTCAGCAATCAGATCCGTTAAGTTTGTCTCATCAAAAGATCAGTTTCGGGATAGTGTTCATCACTGTCAAGCAAGGACAACTTGTGCCGGGTCAAATGTTAAAACCACCTAAACTTCAATAAAACCTGCATGCGACTCACAGTACTCATTAATATTACAATCTGATATTTAATCTTTGCTAAATTCTCATGACTTATAATTTAAGGACCCCAACTTGATCAATATCACTGCCACATTTCTCAAACACTTTGTTACTGAAGAAATAAATACTGCATGTCGCAGGTTAATTTCTAAAGCACTTTGATTGCAATCTACCAATTTCTCAATTACATTTGGATTGTATATCCATTTCTATCACAGTAAATGTATCCATTGTCCCACAAATATTCTTGCTACATTGAAAAAATGTCATGTTTTGATGAAGAAGTTTGCATTTCTGGTGTAGTGCCACATTCTCACCCCTGACAGTCCTCCAGAAGATCCTGCTAGGAGCTCTGAAATGGTAAGGTCCACGAGAGGGGTTGGTGTTCATCCTCTTGCGCAGGAAAGCCAGGTACTTCACTGTAGAGGCGCACAGACATTTGAACTGAGTTACAAAATACTTCAACCACAGACAACCATTACTTCAGTATGTAATGCTCATGTCTCAGATGGTAGTGCATGTAAGTGTTATCATGGTCATTGAAACTCGAACAATAGAGGTAAGACATCACTGACAACAAGCATTTAAATAAAACAATTCAACAGACGTATACTCTACTTACGCTTGTTGCGATAGAAGTTGCCGGAGATGTTGATGCCTTCGCATCTCACCACCACCACTTTGTGTCCTACAAGAAAACAAAATGGAGTTTAGTGTTTGAGCACCCAAAATAATCAGTCGTGTTAATGGTCACTTACATCCCGTCTCAGATGGTAGTGCATGTGAGTTATATCATGGTCGTTAAACTCAAACAAGGCAGATAGTTGATCATCATCGACAGACTGAAGCAACAATGGCTTCTCAATGGGCTGTTCAGTATCTGAATACAACCAATATCTACATATTACTCCTCAAAATGTATTATGTAACTTACCCAGCAGAACCTGTTTAGCCACCAGGGCAGCAAGGCGGCCCAGTAGATGGCCCCTGCCATCAAGCAGCAGAACCTGCAGGTTGGAGAAAGGTATTTGTATTTTAACTTTGAACAAAAGTGACTCGTTAGCTCTCCTATTAACTTACATAGTAAAGTTAACTAAATCAGACATTTCACATTTCAGTCAATAACTGACTATTGCTAACCACGTTTCATTTAGACTATAATAACTAAAGCTACAAACCAGAAATTAAAAGGATTGCACATTTTAAAGTAATCACTGCTACAGAGCAACACTCCGACTGCTCCATGATCGTGGTAGAAACTGGCACATGGACGCTGATAACTTGCCGATCAAGACACAGCGTTAGCTTAGCATTAACGCATATTGACACGTAACCTGTAATTTAGACTCCGATACCGTGGATGGGCATTAAAATATAATACTAGTATAAAACAGTACAGTTATCTATTAAATTAGACATGTGCGCGTTAACCAGGTTAATACAATCTTGATACAAGTCAAAGCTAGCACGCTAACAGCATTGACTGTTAGGGAAGCTGCCATGATGAAGGCATGTCCACTCACAGACAGCTAGCGGTCTCAAAAAAAACTTAAAAATAAGCTTTTAAATAAACACCTAACAAAACAACTATTACACCACGTTGTCCCGTAGTCTTGGCCCGCAGTTTAACTGCAAAACACGACATCTAACTACGACTAAAAAGCACAAAGAAGAGATTATGAGTCCGCAGCAGTTACCCACCTTATTGAACCGGTCCGCCATGATGTGCGAAAAGAAAGACACACGGGGTTGCTCGCGGTAAAAGGCAGGGGCAGGCGGAAGTGACGACTTTATATTTCTTTCTCGTGGGAAGTTTGTAGATTGGTAGAAATGTTACAGCGCCGCTCTTGTTTGGAGGGAGAAGTGTCGTCCACTGATGAGTAACGCTATAGGTTATACCTGGTGTTTGTTTATGTTGGTGCTCTTTTGAATCCCAGTTGGAAATATATATTTACGACTTTACAGATTTAAACCTGGCCCTTTAATAAAAACACAGTCTCCTGATTGTGCTAATATCAAGAGTGTACATGTCAAACTCAATGCAGCATCCTGCATACTGATTTTAATCACTTCTCATTTTAAAGTGATTTTCACTAAGAGTCTTTTGGGGCTTATGGTGAATTTGGGTGAATTGAACATTTAATGTAATTCCATGCTCATGTTGTTTTATGTATTTAGAGATAATGCACTTTGGAACGGTTATTTTCAGTCTATGTGCTTCAATGTCAGATTACCAATCAGGGAAAGTGACCATCTACCCCAGAGCTCCAGACCCTCAGTGGCCTCATATTCATTGGTTATAATTTTTGCTTTATGGTCATTTGATCAACTGGAAATTTGTTTGGGGATGTGCATGACTAAAGCAGAATATGAAATGATGAGGGCCTTTGATAGCACGATCACGTTCACAAACTGCATTTAAACCCATGGCTGTGTGTCAAAATGTACATGGTACATATGTATTCCTAAATATTCTCAATGTCAGTGATTATATTTGGGGTTTTGTTTTTTACAATAGTTAGTCACTTTAATGACCAAGTACCTTCTCAGGTAATATTTTCATATTTTCCTATTAAAAATATAAGGGCTGCAAATAATGATTATTCACTTTATAAGTTAAAATGCCAGTTATTCTTATGATGTACCAATTGTTTATAAAATGAGAAAAATTACACTAACAGATGCTAACAATGCTGTTAACAGCAAATTTATTTATACATCACAAGAAAATGTTGATTTTGCCATATATTTAAGTTTTTCCACTTTGGCCTTTTGCCTGCAACATACAGCACACTGATCTACTACAAAAAAGGGGAAAGGGTTGAAAAAGTTGCACAACTTGTGTCACAGCATGCCATGGAAACAGTCATTTTATGGAGTGGTTTTAATAACTTTCAAGCATTTACAGAACAATCACCCACACATTCATGACTGACCCGTTGATACAGTGCATGCAGAAATCTGAGTTATGAGTAAAGCTGTCTGGTTGGGTCTGTGAGAAAACTAGAACTTTTTTTAGGAAGGTTTCACTCAGTCGTCGTGCTTCAGCTTTCTGATCTTTCCCTTGTGGCGGTCAATCTCGCGCTGCATACGCTCAATCTCCTTTTTGTGGTGGTCAATTTCCTCCTGATGGTGCTGCCTCAGTGCAGCGAGCTGCTCCTGCTCCTTACGCCTTATGTGCAAGTGGACAGATAAGGCGGTGGGTGACAACAGAGGAGAGAATGGATGAACAGTGAAAAAAGACAGGGAAGGGATAAAGAGACACAAACAGAAACAGATTAGACAAGATCGTAATAAAAAGAAAAATATGGTGACTTATAAGTTCCATGATTAATAAAGAGACACATACTTGAAGTACATCTCCTCCTCGGCGGCCTGCTTCTTCCCCATGGATCCACCTGCCTCTCTGATTGACCCTCCGCCGCCACCACCTTTACCTGCACCTTTACCCAGCTCACCCAGCTGAGGCAGGGCGGGGGAGCAGGCAAAAGGGAAATGTTTAGTACCATACATACATTCAGAGGCAAATAAGAGTGTTGCAGACATTTCATAAAGAGACAGGGGCCTAAAATTACTCAAGGTTCATTTCTTTCTCGGGTTTGTTAAATAGTTAAATAGAGTTGTCAATGTGATATTAAAGGTTAGACCCTTTAAAAATCACACTGTTCTGAAGGTCAAGATTCAGCTTATTTAACAAAAGGAGGGCAAAGGGCTTCTTTGTTTGCCAGGTGATAAAAGAGCTATTTAGAACAGACTAGAAACTGTTTTTGTGGCAACAACGCAACAAAAACTGCAAACAGGAAAAACTAATTCATAGAACTGAATTATTTTCTGAACAACCTGGTTTGACAGGCAACTACTAATTCAGACAAAACGTGCTATGATTAAAATGAACCCCTTGCTAATTCATCCTCGACATTGTTGTAAAATGGTTCCCACTAATTAATGCCCTAAAACTGCACTAGTACTACATTAGTCTGACCTATAAACATGTCACTAACAGTTGTCTTCCTGTCTTCCAGTTGTTAAAATCATGAAGCCAATACATTTAACATTATTCACACACAGCGATATAAGGGTTACAAAAAAAGCATTGTTTTAACCAAGAAATGTGATTTCAGGACGCATGTTACCTGGTCGGATGACATTCTCAGCTGTGAGGTGACAAAACTCCTGATGTTTGGCCTTAGAAACCTCGCCATGTTTGTTTCTCACATGTGAAAACAACACTGGCAGGGGGAACTTGCCCTTGTCCTCAAAAAATACGCCACAGGACGGCGCCATTATTATTCACCCGGGGGTGACGACACAAAAATTACGTTGGTCTAATGGGAAACCGAGTTGAATGATAATTAATATATTGATATATCATTACGGCGAGTCACCACCTTTGTTTTTTTAATATAAGTAACAAGTAATTAATTATAGTGTATGGAAAAATACTGTGTTCGTTTTTCCTAATGGTTTGGTCCAAAAACGGACAGCATGACAGCACACGTTTTTTACGTCGCTGCTGGTCACATGTACAAGTATATGTGTATACCGGACCGTTTAATTTATTTAATTTTGGTTTATTAATAGAAAGACATTTTGTCTGTAATACAGTAAACATTGATGCACATTCTCTTTTTTCTTCTTAAAGGACTTCAAAATATAAAGTATATTAAAACTTGTGTTAAAATTAGTTAATATTTTCTATGTCAACAATGCACAGGTTGCTTCTTTTTTGTTTAAATAACGGTCACGGAGTATTTTATTTTTTACTATTTGTTTCTATTCTTTTCTCCAAGTTTTACAAAAAAATGTGTCATTAATATCTGTCAATTAATTTACCAACAAGTTCCAGGTTTGTGAAAGAAGAAAGAGAGAACACCCTTGCTTTTTTGGTTTTAAAAATATTTTAAGCATACATTGCATAAAAGTTATATATCAAAAAGCTAAAAATAAATTAAAGATAGTTAATCCGTGGTTGTAAATGAATCCTAAGGAAACCCCTACAACATGCACACATACAACGTATGAGTTATCTGTCAATACAAAGTAATATCCAATGTTACAGATTAATGCTGGAAATAAAGACTTATCTATTACTGAAAATTGTCACAGCAAAAGGTAAGGATGTAGCCATACTCTGTCAATTCTTAAAAACCATACATACCACAAGGAATGCTTTTAAGGATTTTATTCAGTGCTGCAAATAAAGTATATAGTTCCCTTGTTGAACAAACCAAGCACTGACTTATATAGTGAAAGGAACCTCGCAGACTCCCTGCCCCAAGTCCCCTATAAATACGCTGCTTGCCAGGCAACTCTGGGCCCACTCTGGCCCAGAAACTAAGAAACACAGTATCAACTTAAAATTTCAAACCACATTAAACATTTTTCACATGATACACCAATACTGTAGATACTAATACTACCAATCTTATAGGCATTACAGTTACATATGTACAGGTATGGTTGGAACCTTGTTGGCAAGCAAGTGCTTTAGAAAAAGTAAAACAAGATCCTGCCAATGCATGTAAAAAATGAAAATCACAAGTCTAACCTAAATTCTAATGACATTTTCTGCCATGCTCTGTTCATAATGCGTCCATTCGCAGAACATTCACAGAGATAATTAAGAGGCCCTCATATTTTTATCGCTGTGACAAAGCAGTAACATAGTTCCTTTTGCAAAACTGAGAGTTTGAGTTGATGGCTACATACATTTCTTGAGCTTGCCTGGAGATATTTCTAATGAAGCAACTGTTGCACTTGAGGGACAAATCAAATTCTAGCCTGAGTATCTGCAAAAAGTATTGTAATGGGTACATATGAAGTGTCTGTCTGTCTTTTGTTGTTTTATAAATCCGCAATAAAAAAAACTCAGCATACTGTAGGGTTAACCACTTTATAAGCTTAAAAAAATGGAACAAAATAGAAAAGGAATGGCAAATGGACAAATGACTAAAACAAGATAAAACAAGATGTGGTGGTGGGAGGGGCGGGGAGGTGGTGCGGGGGGCCTTGCATCACACTGGTAGAAGTGGCTTGCGGAGGCCCTTTGGAGGAGGCAGCGCCCACTGCTCCCCCTTCCGTTCCCGTCAGTCCTGCTTGACGTTGCCCAGTGCTCTGAGGCGCTCCAGCAGAGGAGGGTGGGAATAGTGCCACATGGAGAACAACCAGTCAGCCACGGGGAAGCCCAGGTTGTCCTTGTTGAGCCTGATGAGGGCAGAGTAGAGCTCGGAGGCTTTGCCCATGGCGCGTGCAAAGGCGTCTGCCTGGAACTCAAACCTGCGACTCAGGACCGTCAGACAGAAGGACAGGACCTGCAAAGACAAAATATAAAACTCGTCTAAACAGCTCAAAAACCAACAGAAACTATATTTATCAATCCCATACTCACCTCATTGTACGGGGAGAAGATGAACTGGAAGATAATCATCAAGCCTATTAAAGTGGGTTGGCTGTCATCGAAGCCAAAAGCTACAAACAGCTCCTTACGTCTAATCAGGACAGCAAACAGGGAGAAGCACAGGAAGGAGTTCATCTGCAAAAAAAACCAAACAAACAGGGAAACATGTTGCTTTTGTCTCTGTGCAGACATTGAAGAAGAAAAAGAATCAGCTCAATAGACAGAAAAATTATTCTTAATGAAGACAACTCATCACCTGACTGATGACAATATTCTTGACAGTGTGGCCAAGTTTCCAGTGGCCAAGTTCATGACCGAGGACTGCAAGGATCTCTGGGTTAGTGCATCCTTGTTTCTTGTGCTGTAAAAGTATTAGGTAAGTCAACAACATTGTTGGGATTAAACAGAAATACAATACAATAGCAATCATAAACAGCCAGTTCACAGGTATCCATACAACAGCCAGACTGAACATTAACAGTTATGTGTCCTTGCTCTCTTGATTCAAAGAGACAATGCATCTTTATGAATTTGGGTGTTTTATGGAATTATCACGTACTGTTGGGGAAAACTATAGTTCCTAAAAGTCAAAGTGTTTATTTTTTATGGCCACAAACATTGAAACCTCTTAAAACGGACTGTAAAACAAAAACCTGGTTTGTTTGTTTCAGTGCAATAATAACATTTCTGAATAAAGTTTATGGGACCTTGGGCTTGACTTTTGATTCGCTGCCATCATCGCTCTCTGGAATATCGGTTGGTGGATCTGTAGACTTGTTGAGAGGCGAGTAGTCTTCCAGCAGAGTGTCAAACAGCACAATGCGTTTGTTCTTGAAGAACCCATAGAAGTAAGCGTTGCTGTGTGACGAACGCTTGGAACCTGAAAATATTGAAAACATTCAACAAACAATTAAAGAGCGGCGCATCAACAAACAACCTGTAGTGATGCCCCTGGATTTAGAAGTATTACTTTACCTTCAACTACATAAATCTTAGTGAGGGGGAAGCTTATACTCTTGGCCATATCCTCAATATCTGTCTTCAGCTCTCCTTCTGGCAAAGGAGTGAACTTGTCAAACAGGGGAGCAATGTAGTCAGCATAGATTGTCACAAGTACCTGAGGACACAAGAGAAGAGGAGAACAATCAGACAAGTGTAACAACAGAGTGGCCTTTGATTTACTTTTGAGTTTACTCCCTAATTACAGAACAAACAACATGTTCTTTTATTATTAAAAAGATGCCTTTTCTACAAGTTTTCTCATTGTTTAACAAGGTGGACGCAGCACTAACCAGAGAAACAGCCAGGGTAAACAGCCAGGCATAGATGAAAAAGTAGTCTCCACCGATCTTGATGATGTACAGGAGCAGTGAGGTGACGGGCAGCAAGATACACTGGGTCACAACAAACTTCTTTATAGCATCCTTGATGAAGAACGCAATGGTCTGAGAGGAAGACAAGACACTGATATTAAAAAAACAGCAGCAAAACAAGTAGTGGTCTGTCAGGATGTGTGTGCATGTGTGACTAAACTGGGGATCTGTTATCATGTAATCTTGGTAGACTTCTGTGGCGGTAACAGATTTGAATGCTGACAAGCTTTCACAGTGAAAAATATTATCGATAGTTTCTGAAATAAGTCCTGTAGTAATCTTAGCTGTCCATCGTGCTGCTGTTTAAAGTGGTCATGTTTTACTAAAACACAGCTAAACACACCACATCCACCGGAGACTGATTGGAAAGGATGATTGTGTGATAATTTAATTCATGTTGCATCCATGTTGGCTGCAATCCATAGCAACCATTATAACACAAGATGATCACAGCTGTTGTTCTTCCTGAGGAAGGAAACTACAAACATTTAGCGGTAACACTGAAGGCCCCTGGAGGCAGCTGCTGTTCTGTCGGTGTACCTGCTGATTGAAGCCGTGCTTCTCCTCAATGACAAATGTGCTGTACAAACTCCATGGAAGTCCAGTCAAAGCACTGAACAGCGTGGCGAGCATCAGAAACACGAGTGACTGGGTGATCTCATACTCTGAACCAAATCCAAAGTGAGCTGTCACAGCACCAGCGACGGTCCACAAAAATGGGATTCCACCCAGGAGCAGGATCAACTAAAAAGTTTTGAGCATAACATGAGCCTTTTTTAAAATCGTACATATCAAATGAAACATGTGGCAAAAAACATAAATACATTATCTGGTTGTCTTACCGTCCCTTCAGTCTCAGAATAGAGTCCAGACCAAAAGCTGAAGTTGCTTTTATCCAGCTGATAACGTCGTGACTTCTCAAATGTTTCAGAATCCATGATCTTACCTAGTTCCTGTGGCACATGTGTTGTTGATCTGTATATTCTCCTCTGTGGAGGGGAAAGAGATCAGCACCAGTGTTATACCTCAGTTCCTTCACACTGTTAGCCCTTGCTATGATTAGTTTGTTGAATTCAAACAGTGTCAAATATCAAACAACATTGTTACATTATGTATTATTACATTAGAAATATAGTTCACTCATATTCTTCTGTGGTTTATTTTGTCCAGATACTCCACAAACCACATATTTCATACATTTGTCTAGCTTTACCTAAGATCTTGCTCCTAATTCTAACTTTGAAAAACAATCAAATTTCGAGTTTCCTAGTTTCTCTGATTGTTTCATTTGTTCTGGGGTTCATTTTTCTCTAACTCATTAAAAAAAAAGTAGCAACTTTGGAAATCCACAGAACTAAAAAAGTATTTCTTTATGTAATAAATCTACAGTGTTATCACATTTCTTTGCATTTTTAATTCAGCCCACATTGTGTTCTGCCACAATATCCTGTTTCTAGAGGAAGTAAACCACACTCAGCACACCATTTTCACATTTCATTTTAGGAAACGTGCAAAGAAAAGACGCCATTTAGACAATTCAGACAGTATAGGGCTTTATATTTGTTTCAACATTCAAGCAAGAAACATACACTGTCTGCCAACATCTATCCAGTGCAGCCCAACACAATACAAACTGAGGGGGAGAAGAACTAAACATATTTGTCAAGAACTTCTCGTGTTACCAAGTCAAAAGTCACAAAAAGTCACAATATATACATACATATTGTGCAACATAACAACGGTTGGACAGGTGCTGTCAAACCAGAAGAGTTAGATAGAAACGTGCGTTTGCATATGCTGCGAAACACTGAATGAACTCCCCTTGTTCTTCGGTTTGCAAGAACAGTCCATTACTTTAAATTAAAATCTTTCTCTAACCTTCTTTAATGAACCAATCAGATGTTCAGATGTTTTTTATTTTCACCCTCTGAACACATGAAGCTACAAGGCAGAAATGATTAACTTCACGTTACCTGTCTGGAAGAAATGTACGCCTCCCATAGATACACCGTCCACGAAAATCCCAAAACAGCATAAAATATCTGCTTTTCCACCGGGAGGTCAAACAGAGAGTCAACCATCTTTGCTCCGTTTTCCAGTCTATGCTATTGGAGAACAAAATGACCAGCCAGCTATATACTGTCAACGCTAGCTGGCGAGCTAACGGCGATGTCAACGTTACCCAGCCTGACTGCTCGTTTCAGGCTGCAGCTAACTATCGTAGCTTGAGCTGCACAGACAGACAGACAGACAGCACTGTAACGTTGGATACAGCGAGCTTGTCTCCCGCCTTGAACCCACTGATACTGACTCAAAATGTCCACTTTGGAAATGTTAGCATCCAGTTTCCATTCCTGAGTCAAGGCCTTTATATCTAATACAACTCCATTCATATGAGATGTGACCCTGTCGCTGAGGTGTGGCGACAATTTCTACCCCATCGGAAACCAGCTACTTTGACTTTGGTTCCGCGCTTTTATTTCATTTAGTTGTGAGGGACAGAAGGCACAAAAAGGCTGTGCATTTCTTTATATTCAAAATATATATAGAAAGTGGTGTTTATTCTGTTTTTGTTAGGTAATGTCTTTAAAATATGTAGGATCCTCAGTTATTATTTTTCATGATCAAGTCAGTGAATTAAGGGAACTTTGGTTCCTAGTAGCATTTTGCTTTTCAACAATACAAGTCAATAGGTGTTTGCCATTATTAAGTTTCATTTATAGCCCCCTTGGTCTGTAAATTGGTATTTAATCACCACAAACACTACAGATGATGTGATATCAGTAATATAGAGAATACATGAGCTGCTCCTGTTACCTTCCTGCGCAGACATGCTGCGCAGTGTTTACAGTATTCATATTCTGCAATATTGCATGGCTCCAGGTCACTATTTTTTGAGAATAGTACCTCATTGTGTACCATTAACCAGTGTTATTACATACAATCAACACATTTTTGGTACAATTAGCTTGGGGCCACTACTCGTATTATCATCTCATAGGAAAGCAACTTCATTGTTCAAATACTACAAGAAGATTCCCATTAGTCACATCATACTTAACAAAAGAAATGCAAACAGCAGTGTCTATACATTTTAATATCATCTCAGCCAAACCACAAATAGAGCCCCCAAACAAACCAGCTCTCTTCTTATCAACCATTTGCACATATTTGCATTTTTGACATTATTTTTAAAAATAGAATTGTGTTGTTTTTTATTTTAATTGTACATGAAGGGATAGTTTAACTTAATATGAAACAACAACAACAAAATATATACATGTAATAAACTTTCAGGTTGGACGGAGGGGGATGGAGGGCTGGAAATGGCCCCCAGGCCAGCAGTTCAAGATCCCTGACACAGATGATTCTAAGATATTGAGTGTATTTTTAATTTAGCAAACAACTCCTACTTCACTGTGACTTAATACACATGGTATAGATAAAGAAGTCACTTACACAGTTGTGAAAGTAAAAGGGCTTTATATTCGTTTCCACATTTATTTTATTAGAAAGTGTTACATACATGTCTGCCATCATCTGTCCACTGCATCCCAACACTGTTTTAATATAAACTGAGGTGAAAAATAACCAAACATATTCCTCAAGAACTTCTTAGTAAGGAAATGTTTTTCAGTCACATTTTCACACAAATGAAAAGGCCTTGTCATACGCTACTGACCATTTCTAACAATCTGAAAATCTGTACATTTATCTTTGAGAACTACAGTATATACACTTCATGACTTAACATAACAGGTGTTATATAAATGATTTCATAACAGATGTCTAAAAAAAAAACAAAAAAAAAAACAGCCCACTTGGATCTCATGTGCACTGTTTAAACTTGTTTTTATCTTAATTTCTTTAACTTCTTAGTTTGGCAACTTAAAAAACAAACCCCAAAAAACAACATAATACGATCACTTGGGGAGAAAGAAAAAATACTGGTACACATCTTGTGAAAATACAAAGTCATCTCATCTGTCATAGCTATGTTAAAAGGTGCTCAGTTAAACTAACTTCCAAGAAGCAGTTTGCTGTTGTTGGTGTCTGATGGGAAGAGGTCAGGCGGGGTGGTGGTGCACACAGGTCTCCCCAAGACCACCACAGGTCTGAGGTACTGAAGCTGCTTAATGGCCAGGTCCCCACACCCAGCCAGGGCTTTGTCCAAGATGGACTTCAAGTTTTGGACTGATGTGAAGTCTCCAGTCATAGTGTGGGGCTTCAGCAGTGGGGAATGAGTACGTCTGCTGCGGGTATGAGAGATTCCAAGCTGGTTGTTCTCCTTCACAGAACAACTGCGTCTGAAAGAGTCTCGCCGTTTCACCGGCACCGTGTTTTTGTCATTTGGGGTTGTCTCTTGAATGAACCTCAGGAATGAGGACTCAAAGCCAATGGGCTTGTAGGCGGTGATGTCAAAAGCACGTGGAGAAGGGGTACAAGGCTGAGTGTCTTTCAAGTTTTGCGGCTGTTCGGACAGTTCATTTTTCCGTTTTAGTGGCTGGCGAACAGGAGGAATAGGCAATGCAGCTGACCCGTTCAACATTTTACCACCGTCCCTGGTGCTCGACATGTCTTGGAAGCCCTCCTCACTAGTAAAGCGAAGTGAGCATGGTGGCGAGAGGTCAACAGTGACTGGACGAAGAAGAGGTTTGATTTTATCCAAGCTTAATCTCTCCTCCTGTTTCTGACTGTTCTCTGTTGCTGCAGCCGAGTCTTCAGTGTGCCCACCGGGGCTTGGTTCACCGTAAAGCACCTCGTCTGCACCAACAAGGACGCCATTTCTCTCAACAGGTGGTGGCTCCTCCTCTTCTTCCTCTGGGAATCCTAGTGAATCATGATTATCCTTATCCTGTGTGTCTGCCTTGATTGAGTGTAAGCTCATGGGTGCAGGCTGCCCCCCTGTGTTTTCTGCCTCCGCCTGATACTCCATTATGCGAACCCCGTTAGGGGCACACGCTCCTGTAACTGTTGGCCTGGCCGACTTCCTCTGAATCAGTTCTTCAAGCTGCTCAGCAGTATAAACAAGCTTATCTTCGTTCTTAACGAGATCTTCTCGACGCATGCGATGAACCTGAAGGTAGTGACGCTGCAAACTTCCCGTATATGTGACGACAGAATCACAGTCCTGAACCATGCATGGGTAGGCCACCCGCAAACAGCGGTCTTGGCACATCTGTAGTGCTTCTTCATGAGATCTGAAGACAAAGCTGCTGTAAGAATTTGTTTTAGATTTTCTTCCTGACGGTTTCTTCTCCACAACACTCTTCTTATTCATTTCCTCTGACTGGGCGGTCACTTCAGGCCCTGGACTCGATCCCCCGGCCTGTGTGGTGGTTGAACCAGGTTCTTCCTTCTGAGGACTCGGTGGTGCAACAATAAGCTTCTTTTGGCATCCAGTAATTGACTTTTTGTGAGTGCTCTGTAGACGTACCACCAGTGAATCGTAGTACTCATAGTGACTATATAGCGTATGTTTTTTAAGTGCATCATCATGACTAAATACTCTTGTACAGCCTTCATATTTGCACCTTATTAGCTCTGGTGGTTGTGAGTGGTAATCGCGAGTGTGACGCACTAGGCTGCTTTTAAGGTGGTAGGAAGCATTACAGTTGGCAAAGTGGCATTTGTATTGGGGCTGAGGTTCATCTGAGTTTGGGAGAGGCCTTTTCTTGGCAGGCTCTTTTCTGACTTCTGGAGTGTGATGGGCATCAAACTCTTTTTCCAACAAGAGCTGAGAGCGATTGTAATGATGTACCAACTGTAGGTGACGCACAAGGCCTCCCTGGGTGGAAAAGGCTGCAACGCAGTTTTTTGCAACACAATGAAAGGGTTTACTGAATTTATCCAATATATAGCAGAGATTACCTTTGGCTACCAAACGTCTTGTAGTTCTGACCTGTTGTGTGGTCCTATCCTCACTTTCTACCTTCTGCTCACCATCTTCCTCTCTACTCTCTGGTTCATCCTCTACTTCCTCTTCAGATGCAGACTGACTGTCAAAGTTTTGTGCATTTTCAGGACTCATGGTGGAGTTTTTTTTCTTATCTTGGTGTTGCAACTTAGGGATTTCTTTCTTCCTCACGTTCAGACCCTGGTTCGCCAAGTGCTGAGACGTATGCATTGTAGTGTCTTTGTTTCCCTCATACTGTCTAGATGCACAGCTCACTTTGCCCACCAGAGTCTCACTCAGGTTATGTGCGTGCAGATAGTGAGCCCTCAACACATGTTTTTCTCTGTGACTCTTGGAACAAAGATGGCACACGTAAGGCTTAAAAGACGTAGTTTTCAAAGAAGTCAGCCTTTTGGCTTGTTCAACAGTACGGCCATGTTTGGTGTTATAGTGTCGCAGTAAGCTGTAACTCTGAGCAGTCCTAAAGTTACAACCTTCCATCTCACAAATGTAGGGCTTAGCAGTGGCTAATGATTCAACTCCGCATTCGTCATCAGTCGCTGATGCTTCTTCAGTTTTGACTTTAACCCTTTCCTCAGGCAGATTCGGGGGTCTCTTCTGAAGCAATACAACAGGAGGCTTGGCCATGATAGCCTGATGAAGAGATACCTGTGATGCATTGGACTCTGCGTTGGACTGTGGGGGTTCACTTGGCACACTGTGAGGCGAAGAAGAATTCAGGTCCAGTTTACTGAGCCCAATAAGAATTTCCTTCAGAGCATCGTTTTTTGTTTGAAGTCTTGAAGAGTTTGTTTCATTGTTTTTGGGCTGAGTGGATGCTTTTCTTTCTTTGCCAGACTCAACGGGTTGTTGTTGTTGTTGTTGCTGCTGCTGTTGTTGTTGTGGTGGAGTTGAGAGCTCATTTTTTCCCTTTTCCTCATTGTCTGGCTCAGTCTTTATCCCTTTGGACTTTGAGCCGCGTTCTTTGTCATGCTTGTGTTCTTTGTTCTCCAGTTTAAGGTGTTCTGGGTGGGCACATTTCAGATGTCTCTGGACATCTCTGGCTCTGGAGAAAGTCATGCCACACTTCTCAAAACCACAGGTGAACTTACTTCCATCAAAACACACAGCCACCAGGGTCATTGTTGCTTTGGGCTCCTTGCTCTCGGATGCTTGCAAAGAGGAGGCACAACTTACTGAGGAAGAGTTCAGCACATCTTCATTTACAATCTCTTCTGTTTGCACTGTCGGATGGGCTGTTGTTTCAGTAACAGTCTTCAGAAGTTTCCGCTTTGCCTTCCTCTGAGCCTCAAAGTCGTCTTCAGAGAAAGTGATTTTGTGTGTGGATAAATGCTTTATGAATTCCTTTTTGGATAAATAGTATTTTCTACATTCAGCGCTAGAGCAGGTAAATGCTGCATCTCTGAAATGCTGTGCTTCGTGGTGATAGATTTGTCCCAAGTCAGAGTACGTGACATAACAGCCTTTGAGCTCACACTGGTAGTTGAGCTGATAGCCATGGGTCTGTTTGTGTGTGACAAGT